AACTTTACACGATTTTCATCTCAAGCATTTGAGAATGAACTTTTTTTGTAAGGTTTTTTTTTTCGATCGGAGGAGGAAAACCTACCTCAAAACGCAGAAAACTAGAAAGAATTCGTTTTTCAGAGCGAACAAACTAAAACTGACACCTTTGAGTGCTTGAAAAAAGCCTTAGTCTTAGCTAGATGGAATATTTGACCATATTTGACTTCTTTTTTCAGTGATTTCAGTGATAGTGTTTGCTAAAAACACGCAAGTGTTTAATCCTCCGCCATCTTGGAGAGCCGCCATGTTGACACGGGGTACATGAAAATCAACCAATCGCGTTCAATTAAATAGCAGCGCGCAAGAGCCAATCAGAATCGAGAATGAAAAAGCTATGTGCTAGACAAATAACATGAGGGAAATTTAGAAGACAAAGAATTCTTTGGTCTTTTACCCTCTATTTAATTTATGCAAGGGACATTCAGTAAAAGACAAAATAATCCTTTGTCTTCTAAATTTCCCTCACATTATTCATGGAGAAATTGGGGTGCACAATTATGCAAAGATAGTAGACTAGATACCCCTAAAAAGGATGCTACTGAACACAAGTGTCCTACACTAGCATGTCTTGCATGTAGGACATTTTTTCCCTGACTGCGCATGCCTGTGCACTTAGTAAAAAAAGGAAAATGCCTATGACAGATTTATGCGCAGTCACATAAAAAATATTATAAAAATCACTTTTGAAATCATTTGTAGCACCACATTGCACTTGCACTTTTGCCAACTCGAAATGAAGCATTGAAAGAAATAGCGTTTAATACAGCAAACTGATATTGCAGAACTGAAAAATCAACGGTGTCAGATTCTGTGCTTTTTGTCCAAATACTTATTGAAGTCGAAAATTTCAGTATGGTATGGTATTACCAAAGAAGGATATAGGCACATATTTCTTTTACTCTTTTCGAGACATGTGATAACTATACTTTAGCTGTAATGACCATATGAAAAAAAGTAGAATACCGGGAAGGAACTCCTTAAACGTTCCATGTTTAAAAAAATCTGTTTCCGCCATAAGAAAGATTATATGTAAACTAGTAGATTGGTAGAGTTTTAGTTTCAAATTTTGATTACCAGCAGAGTTACAGTCATTTAAAATGTACAAAAAACGTGAAAACGAGGCCGTTAAGACCGAAATACTGATTTTCAATCTTACCTTTGCAATTTCAAGCACCTACAATTTCTAGTAATGTTTGAGTATTGAAATGATTCTACTTACTACTCACTATAATATGCTCTTTTCAACGAATATTATAATGATATATTAATCAACTTATAATAAAAACGCCCTTATATGGCCAATGATTCGTGCAAAATCTGATAGTATGTCTTGCCCGTGATTCGAAAATATAATTCCAGTCCGGCGTTCTTTATGAACGTGTCGTATCCGCTAAATGTCTTTTGAACAATCATACGAAAAACAACTTCTTCAGTGCCCAGTGGCCACKTGATATTCTGTTCTTAGCACTTTCTTAATTTGTATTATGGCGCACACGGAAATTGTTATTTATTTCCTGTACAAATCGCATGGAAAATAAATTGGGTTTGAAGTCATATCAGTGTTCGTAATGCATAACAAACACATTTATTGATACTTAACATTCAAGATATGAAATCAATTATTACATGATTATCGCTAATTTTTTCACAGCTATAGCATTGAATGTCACGCTCCCCGATCCCCAAAAATCGAGTCGAAACTTTTAAATTTAAATGTAAATAAAAATAGACAAGGGGGGAAAAATATAAAAATGGCTTTAAAAATCAATCTTTATTCATAAAACTGTTTATACTAATTAAAGAAAAAAGAAAAGAAAAAGAAAGTCTTGAAAAGTCTCAAGAAATGAAGTAGAAAAAATTTACGGCTTCATGAGGGCTCGAACCGCGAACCCCGCAATTAATACTTTGACACCGCCGTGAAAGCAACAACACAACTGTTGAGCCTGGGCCCCCTGTGCTTTAGCGATATTTCTGGAAGACAGTGTGTTTTTATAAGTCTTTCAGCATTGTTGTGGGCTAACACGTTCGATATTTCGACATGGAATTCTCAGATCATCGAACAAATTCTAAGGAGATGTCTTTTGAACCACTCGACCTACCCGATGAAAAGACGATTTATATTCTTTGAACTTGCTACGTGTATGTGCCTGATCGAGTTTTATTACTCGTGACCAGGCCCTTGGCCGGGGCACGAGGTATAAAATGCAACGCGTATAGTTTTATTTTATATTTATTTTTTTTCCAAGTCAAAAGTTTGCCTTCGGGTCTCCCGATCGCCCTCCGATCTCTCTACGAAATATCACATTACGAACTCGGCTGTAAACAATCGTATCATAGAACAGTTTTAACTGTTAAAACTGCCCCTGACTATAATAATTCTTTGATATTCGAGGCCTTTTGTTATTCCAAAACATTCATCTGTATGAGAGCATATATTATGACATTGGTTTAGGTCATCAAGGTTGGTTTATCGAGCCAAATAGTGCATTTTCTTTGGCGAGACCAAGTTCCCCTCTACTAACTCTGGCGAGACATAAAAGTGAAGCCGCAACGTGGCTGTCTGATTCAACAAGTTTATTTCACGAAAATAAATAATGTAATGCTAATCGAGGCAGGACAATGATATAATTATAAAATATATTTAAGAGTGCTCAATACACATAAAGTGTTGAGCTAGTTATATATATGATATCAAAGAAGCAAGATTTCGCTGTAACTCCGAGTTTCGTGCTACGCACTCATCAGACAGTAGATGAGTGCGTAGCACGAAACTCGGAGTTACAGCGAAATCTTGCCTCTTTGATATCATATATATATATATATGATTAATAAATTATTCAATAATTTGAGAAGAGGAAAGGAAAAACAAGTTAATAAATTATTTTAGTTTCCAATTCACTAGGTTTTCTTTGTTATTCATAGGGTTGTATATACCATAAAAATTTAAAGCCGGGGAGGGATTTGATATTCAGCAGGGAAATGTGGGGTTGATGAATTGAATTGAATAGCTCGTTATAAATTCAGCGGGCTATATATGAGTGACAGGAATCACTCATATAGCCCGCTGAATTTATAACGAGTTATGCTGAACATCAAATAAACTAAGTAAACTAAACTATTTTTCCCCTAAAAAAGACCAGTGCGGCCAGCAAAACTTGAGGAGATTTAGAGTGTAATAAGTTCGAGTCCCGCAGCTTTTCTTCATATGTTCATCAGAGAATAGAGACAACAATAACCAAGATCTTCGCCGTTACTTTTAAAAGAATCTATTCTTCGGAATTAACCAACGTGTATGAATCAGAAGTAATCGGTGTGACTTGGTCCATTCTATCCAAGCACGTACACACGGCCATTTGCTACATTTGGTACTTTAGTTTGGTCCTTCTTGAATACTTCCCTCGTATTTTTTCGAGCGAGTTCAACATCAAAAACTATTGTAATTTTTCTCATTTTCCCATCTGCAGACTTTGTATCATCGTTATTTGCGGGAAGAAGCATGCGGAGTTCCAAATCCGATAGCAAATCGTCAATATCAAAGTTCGTCAAAGGAATAATGTCAAACGTATTTTGAGCTATAAACAAATCGTCACTGTTCGACATCGTTTCCAGAATGACTGCTAAGAATATTTGATAACAATATTCAAATTTCGATTGCTCGCTTTCGCATGAACAGGTTTTCTTAAAGGAAACTAATTTCAACAGTCCATGAAAAAGTCCCAAGAGAAGAGGATTCTATTGTTCGAAACCCAACTAAGAAAACATTCATTAAGTCTATTCAGTTTTTGCGAAAACCACGTGAATTGAAAACTAAGTTTGTTAGTTACCTCGCACGTCTGCGGCCCTCGGGCTGTATATAGCGTAATGCCTCCGTTCTCGGTAACTAACTCTTACATAATTTCATTTTTGACGAAACGAAGTGAGAGAAAAAGTTGAAAACAGCGGAAAAAATTGGGGGAACAGAGAAGAAAAAGGTAAAGTAATTGGGGATGCTAAACTGAGATTTATATATCGATGCTACTGTGAATAGAACGGGAAAGCACTTGTATAAATTCGGAAACCTCAACATAGTCCTTTTCTTGTTCGAACATTCTGAATAATTTCTCCTTGACCGCTTTTTTGAAGCTTGGTTTAGATTTGTCTCGGATATTAAGAGGAATACAGTTCTATAAGCGAGCTCCTAGTCTAGAAAATGAATTCAAAAGTATATTCAGATTGGAAGGTTGAATAAAAAGTTTGTTAGTGGTTGATGACCTAGTGGAGTAACTATGTTGGTGTCTTACTGATGTGAATAAATTAGAGAGATTGGGGGGTGCACGTTTATTGACAACATTATGCATAAGATTAGCAAGTGATAGAAAGTACATAATGTTGAGTGGAGGGATTTGACTTTTTATGAAGAGAGGAATAGCAGAATCATTGTAATTGGAGAAGAAAATCAAGCGAAGAGCAAGTTTTTGAATAATTAGAAGTTTATTTAACAAGGAGTTAATTTCACTTATATTCTAATTCGCTCCCCCGCTCAACCGAATATAAAACATTTATCATGTAATAAATACACAGACTTATAGGAGTGTGTCCACACGATAGACGTGCGTGCCTTTATTAAACTTCGTTAACGAATTTACAAATGAGCAGTTTATATATA